TTATTAGTACAAGAAGGTTAGTGCAAATCTCTCGTTAGAGAAATGTAAAAAAAATTTTTAGTTAAAAAAAACGTAACTAATTAGTTGGATATTTTACTTTAGTTTTAATTCAACAAAAAGTTTTCACAGAATTTATTTCTTTACGATTTCTCTAACAAGTAGAATATAAAAACGATACTCACGCTCATTTCAATATGTGGATGGTCAATAAAAATAACATCTGACTCTTCATCTTCTAATAAAATGGAAACCGTTTTTTCACCAAATTCGTCATCTGAAAAAAATTAGCTGCTTTTACTATTTTTATTGTAACTCACAAAAATATAATATATTCTTACAGTCAAGGTATTTTTTACTTAGTAATGGTTTAGTTAAAAAGAAAATAAATCTACTTAATTTAAGAAACGTGACTGAGTAAAATTTGTTTTAAGGTGTTCAATATATTATTGGGAGTTTTTACCTAGTAACTATCATACGAGAACAATTAAACTTGTGCTGTTATCAATGATAATTAGTAATTGATTTTACAATCCGTTTACGTAAGTTAATGAGAAGAAAGACCAAACTGGTACTGTAAAGAATCAATCAAGTAAACTATAAAAAAAGTTTATGTTTGCCTAATTCACATAAAAAACTCATCGTCAAAATAAGATATGAGTTGTTTAAGTTTTTGACTGAGTCTTAGTGAACATTTATCTAAGTACATTAAGTAATGCGAGATGGAATATTAATTTCAGCACTGTAATCAGCTTGTAAAAAAATTTTGTAATGATGTAAGAATTTTTCGTCAATGTTGTAAAACAGCAGTTGTAATTAGCATCTACGAAACTTTTAAATAATGTGTGAGTAATCTTACTGAAATATAAATTGATTTTTTATCATATAAATCAAATGATTGGTTAGATTTTCTATTGGATTTTTAACTTTTACTTGTCTTTATTTGTAACAGTTTGAAACTTATAACCTGGTTAAGTGACTATCAAAATTTCAAATCTAGTATAACAGTAATTAATAATTTATTTTTCCGCCCTTGGGTGGTTTTGGGAGGCTGGTACTTCCTCGGGCAAAAAAGCAGTTTTCCGATACTCGTTCGAAAAGTCTCCTTTACGAACCTCGTTACGTCCCTCGCCTTCGGCTCGGGCCACAAACCTCTTGGTTCACAAACAAAGACTTTTCAAACTCGTAGGAAAACTACTATTTCGCAATAGTGTGCGGAAAACACCTATTTCCCTCACACTTATTCCGAAAAAACTTGTACGCAACTTGTGCGGGAAATCGTCCCGCACGAGTCGTGATTGACTCGCACGAGCCGGAGTTGACGGAAACGAGTTACCGTCACCAGTCACGAATCTTTTCCGTACTTGTTACGTAAATAACTATTCTTTCATATAAGTCACAAGTATTAATTTGGTACATTTTTTATGCCATTTTACGATTTCTCTGAAAAAACCAATCTTGCTAGAAACTTTTTTATGCCTTATGCTCTTTGGACGCAATTGCTTAAAACTTAATTTGTGGTTTTATTTTCCTTCAACAACCTAAAAAGTAATAAAAAGTAGTTTGAAATCCGAAAAATTTTGTTGAAGGGAAAAATTTTATTAGCTTCAAGACTGTAAATTTTTAATCAATTTTACATCAGTCGAAGATTTCCATTTAGTCGACAAAAATGCAGATACCAAAAAAAATAAAAATTTTAACCACGTATGGGGACTCAAAAAGAGGTACTTCCATGCCTGTATAATCAATCAAGCAATAATTTTCAACTTATTATTTAAATGTTACAGTTTTAAGTAAAAAGTAGTTTTTCTCATTTATTGGAAAATCTTTTTATGAATTGTAATGACTGCACGATATGAATTCAAAAACCATACTAAAAGTGAGAAATTCCGATTTTTAAATGTGATTTTGACGTTTTATAATGCCAATTCAAAATTAGTCTTAATTCAAAAACATTCGAATTACTAAATTATATAAAACATTTCAAGATTTAATATTCTAATTGATAGAAACATAATTCTTATCTTGATTAATAAATTGAATATCAAGGAAAAATAAAATAGACAAAGTATAACAAAGACCTTTACAAGGACGTGAGATAAACAAACAAGTGAGATACGCTACTACTGCGTTACATAAAATATAAATTAAAGCAATAGGTCAACGCCAGCTCAGCGTACACCACTCCATACATATCGCTCGGTGAAACCTAACATAACAACGCCGAGTCGACGATTTCAAAGAAAAGTAAACTGTAAGTTAAAGCAAATAAGGCCTTTGGGCCGATGGCTGGTTCCTGACGAACAAAAATTAAATTTATTTATTTGTAGAACGAATCTACGAGCTCCACCCTTTACTTATAGAAATTCCGACATAAAAAAAGTTAAAAATTTTATATTGCTATCTAAGGTGAGTAATTTTATTTAAAATAACAAATTAAAAACTAGTAAAACAGGTGTAGCCTTCATGAGTTAAATGATTCAAGAAATGATAGTATTTTAATGTCCCGAGAGCATTATATATTCCTTATCTTCTCACTGTAAATAAATAACAATTAAAATTATTTGCTTTTAGTTTCCTAAATCATTTGGTCTTTATTTGGACGACTATTATAGTTTTATTTTCAGATAGAAAAATGCTTCGTAGAAGTTTTTGTACACAGCAACAGCTAAATTGAACAGAAAGTTATGAAAGGGCCAAAGCTTTCGTTGCTACGGGCTAATATTCTTGTCGATAGGCAGGAAATTTGCGACGACTGACTATGACGTGTATATTTGAAAATGGATTTTCCTTTCACCCTATGCAACCACATGCAGCAAAACAGTGCAGTGAGTGGACCTTTATTTGGAAAATCATAATCGAAGCTACCGGACGAAAAAATCTGATTCACTAAGCACAAACAAATAAAGTCAGGTTTATTGAGCCTGGACCAAGACTAGTGTAACTTAATTGATAACTTTTTCACCAATACCATATGTCTTCAACATGAATATACAAAATAATTATGTTTATTTTAAATAATATATCAGCTATAATGAGGCGCATGATCTTGTTAGTCTTCATTTAAGCTCGCAGATTGGGGTTCTTATTATTTAGTCACAACGAGTCTTGTTTTTTTACAACATATGAGCCTCAAGGACTGTACTTTTTTGTTCAGATTTTCTCTTGTCATATTAATGATTTTAATACCGAAGGAAGACTTAACTTCCTTTGTTCGTATGAAGAAGTAACCGATCCCAACAATCTTTTTGTAATTTTTGGTGACTTTATCAGATTGGAAGATTAAAATGACACATGTAATTATTACAAGTGGTTTGACGACAAATTTACTCGAATTTTACATTTGATTGTTTATAAGGTACTATTTTTATTAAGTTACAGTTTCAAAAGATCCAGCTGTACCATATTCGAGATGTTTACAAGCAAGTTTTGACTTTTTAACATGAGAAGAGTAGTTTCTAAAATCGTAACTTTAACGACGCAGATGTAAAAAAAAAAAACTTTAACAGAAACAAAAATTTAAAATACAACAAATGAAAATATTTCAGATTACAGACCCAATAAAACAAGTATGTGCCTATATCTAACTCAATGTACAAATGATTCAATGCTGTAAAAAACACTAAGTAGCATCCAAAAAAAAAGTTTAAAAAGTATCTCTCCAACAACTACTTTTGTGAAAAAAAAACACAAGGTACAAAAGTTACATTAACCTACTGAACGATAATAAGTACATGTAGGTAGTTCGAATAAATTATGAGTCATGAAAGTAAAATGAGTAAACTAAAAAGAAATTTCTCCCTCGACAAAATAAAAAATAAAAAAATTACTTTGAAAAAAAAAAACACTTAAAAAAGTTAGTAATACAATGTATACAATATATGTAGCAGATTTGATTCAAAACAATTGGAGATGATATAAATTTTCAGTAGTCAATACCATGAACATGATATACCCGATGATAGATTCGATACAAATTGTAAAAAATTATTTACATTATAATAAAATTGTACACGTAATGTATATGTTATGTAGCATAATAAAAGTTTATTCTGAAAATTTTAATGAAGAATACACTTTTCAATAAATGTAACAAGTAGTATAAATTTAAGTATTTTGAGCTTAGCAGTTTCAAGTAATACATTTTTTACTTATGTAAATATTTACTAATGTAAAAAATATTTAGTGAAACAGAAGTAATAATTGTATTTCGTTTACAGTAGTTAGTAAAGGAAAGATAGTACTTGCAATCAAAACATAGTAGGTACTTAATGTAGGTAAATAAAGTCCTCTAAAAATGCTGCTGTGTTAACATCAAACGAATCTTTTGCCTAAAGCATATTATTATGGTCAACATAATCACTTTTGCACATGAACACTTACATACTGATCAATAAAATGAGATGTGTAACACTAGGGCATGAAATATCTCTAGAGTTTAAAGAAAGCTATTCACAAACAATAAGGTTCCTCTACAACAAGGGATTAACTTACCTAAACTAGCGTCATACGTGTTAATGTATTCACTGGTCATGAATTGTGAGACAAGAGCAGTCTTGCCGACACCAGAATCTCCCAATAAAACGACTCTGTACTTGGTGATTTCCTCAGGTTCACTTTCAGTACTTAAACTTGCAACACCTTGACCACTACAGCAACTTCCATCGAATGGCGATCGGTCCCCAGATACATTGCTATTCCTGTAAGAAGTTTAATTCGTTTAGCATTGAACTAAGTTATCATAATAAAAATGTATTACCTAACGTATTATATGATCATAAGATAAATTAAATAGAAATTTTTTTGAACAGAACCGAAACTGGCCAACATCCTTGTCGAGGAAACTGCTGGACATAATTTTAATTAGGGGATTTTGAGTTTAAATACCGTGATCTGATACACCTAAATAGAGGCACATAGCTCATTTGCAACCAAAAATTTGCAAAATAAAAATCAGATATTTTTATAGGAGGCTCCAATAGCTTTAAGCTTAGTCTGTTTGCTACCCAGTTATAGAACCTCAAGGGGTCGTGGGTTAGAATCCCATCAAATGATATTGTAGTTTTTTTCTCAAGCTTTTTCGATAGAAGGAGTAACTGAGATGACGAAAAATCACTATACGATTCTAAAGATGATTAGTAAAATTTTTCAGATTCTATCAAGAAGGTCTTTCTTTCTAAGAGAAGCCAACACCTGACCAGCTAATTGGTGAAGTCACTGTACATTTCAGAAAGGTTGGGGTAGCGACTTAAATAGTTAATGGAAAAGGCCCTTCCATTAAATCTGATAAAGATCTGGGTGTACTTGAGACGATTGCTGTATCCTGCAAATGGCACTCCATAATATGAATGAGCGCGTCTTTTTTCTGAAACCTTGTAATAGGAGCTTATACAAACGATTCGCATACTTTAAAAAAAAGGAGATCTACAGAAAAAGAAAAATAAAAATTGCTATCTAAGGTGAGTAATTTTATTTAAAATAACAAATTAAAAACTAGTAAAACAGGTGTAGCCTTCATGAGTTAAATGATTCAAGAAATGATAGTATTTTAATGTCCCGAGAGCATTATATATTCCTTATCTTCTCACTGTAAATAAATAACAATTAAAATTATTTGCTTTTAGTTTCCTAAATCATTTGGTCTTTATTTGGACGACTATTATAGTTTTATTTTCAGATAGAAAAATGCTTCGTAGAAGTTTTTGTACACAGCAACAGCTAAATTGAACAGAAAGTTATGAAAGGGCCAAAGCTTTCGTTGCTACGGGCTAATATTCTTGTCGATAGGCAGGAAATTTGCGACGACTGACTATGACGTGTATATTTGAAAATGGATTTTCCTTTCACCCTATGCAACCACATGCAGCAAAACAGTGCAGTGAGTGGACCTTTATTTGGAAAATCATAATCGAAGCTACCGGACGAAAAAATCTGATTCACTAAGCACAAACAAATAAAGTCAGGTTTATTGAGCCTGGACCAAGACTAGTGTAACTTAATTGATAACTTTTTCACCAATACCATATGTCTTCAACATGAATATACAAAATAATTATGTTTATTTTAAATAATATATCAGCTATAATGAGGCGCATGATCTTGTTAGTCTTCATTTAAGCTCGCAGATTGGGGTTCTTATTATTTAGTCACAACGAGTCTTGTTTTTTTACAACATATGAGCCTCAAGGACTGTACTTTTTTGTTCAGATTTTCTCTTGTCATATTAATGATTTTAATACCGAAGGAAGACTTAACTTCCTTTGTTCGTATGAAGAAGTAACCGATCCCAACAATCTTTTTGTAATTTTTGGTGACTTTATCAGATTGGAAGATTAAAATGACACATGTAATTATTACAAGTGGTTTGACGACAAATTTACTCGAATTTTACATTTGATTGTTTATAAGGTACTATTTTTATTAAGTTACAGTTTCAAAAGATCCAGCTGTACCATATTCGAGATGTTTACAAGCAAGTTTTGACTTTTTAACATGAGAAGAGTAGTTTCTAAAATCGTAACTTTAACGACGCAGATGTAAAAAAAAAAAACTTTAACAGAAACAAAAATTTAAAATACAACAAATGAAAATATTTCAGATTACAGACCCAATAAAACAAGTATGTGCCTATATCTAACTCAATGTACAAATGATTCAATGCTGTAAAAAACACTAAGTAGCATCCAAAAAAAAAGTTTAAAAAGTATCTCTCCAACAACTACTTTTGTGAAAAAAAAACACAAGGTACAAAAGTTACATTAACCTACTGAACGATAATAAGTACATGTAGGTAGTTCGAATAAATTATGAGTCATGAAAGTAAAATGAGTAAACTAAAAAGAAATTTCTCCCTCGACAAAATAAANAAATTACAACGTCGAGAATATTAAATATCTTACATGGTAAAAACAATACTTTCTGTTTTATAACTAGTCATCTTAACAATGATAATAACTTTACATTTGTTGTATTTGTACTAGTGCGCCATTTTAGGACGTATAATTATTTAAATATTAATTCCGCAGTTCTTAACAAATTTGCATGAATAATAGCACGCAGTGACATTTGGCTTTGCAATAAAACATTCAACGTTATGAGGGGGAAGAAACTTATTTTTAATGAGATCATAAACTAAAACAGATCTTTGTACATTATAAAGAGGACAGGACCAAAATAAATGGTTGAGATCCTCATTTTTATATCCACATTTACATGAGGGAGAATTGACAATATTTTTTCGAAATAAAGACTCTGCCAGACTGTGATGATTTGCCCGAATCCTATTCATTGTAACAATATCTCACCTGAAGAAATTTAAGTTTTTGAACCACGGATATCTTCTGTCTGTATGAAACAAATCAAAGTATTTAATGCCTTTGAAGTTACCTTCATATTGATTCTTTGTATCACTATTTTTAAAAGCAGTAGAATAGAAGATCTCATATAGATCAGAAAAGCAGACGAAGTCTGTAGAGGGATAAGAGGCCAGGGTAGCTCCCTAGGCTATTTGGTCGGCCTTTTCATTTCCTGTAATGCCCTTGTGAGCAGAGATCCAAATTAATTTGATGAAATTATGAGGATTGCGATTTATGTATTGTATATATTTTGATTTAATTTCAAATATCAAGTAGTTAGTTTTAACGTTAATCTTAGTGGATGAGAGGCTTTTTAGGGCACTCATGGAATCACTAAAGATAATAAAGTTCTTATTAGAGTGAGTAAGGATATAATCAAAAGCCAGATTAATAGCAGCACATTCTGCGGAAAAAAAAGAGGAAATGTGGTGGAGGCTTTTAGGCTTAATGAAGTTTTGAGTAAGGCATACGCAGGCAGAGCCTACGCTGGGTGCTCCCTTGACTTTACTTCCATCGGTATATATGCCTATGGCTTCTGTTAATGCCAGTAAATTGTAAAGAGCTAGATTTGGGTCAGGTAGGTCTAAAACAGATTTACCAAAGTTAAAGTCTACTGGAAGTGTTTGTATGGTTACAAAAAATTGATGACAGTACATATTAAAATTTTTGTTAATGGCAATGTTGTAACCATTTTCAGGATTAAGAAATGTGAATATACAGCTAGAAAAAATAATGGGATGTCTCTTCAGATGTTTGAATTTGTTGTAAAGAGATATGATTGTAGAAGAGGGTTCTGCTGAGATGTTGCTAAGAACTTTAGAGAGATAACAGAGGGCCAGGTACTTAGATCGTTCTATAAGAGATATTAAACCTGACTCAGCGAGCAAAATATTGGTAGGAGTGCTCATGCGGTAGCCTAGAGCATATCTAATTGCAGCGTACTGTACTTTTTCTAATTTTTTGAGTTTTGTACGGCTATTGGGTAGATAAATGAAACAGGCATAGTCTGTAAGAGATCAGACTAGGCTTTTGTATACGTAAAGTAAGAAGGGTTGCTGGGGGGCTCCCCACCAAATCCCACGTAGAAATTTGAGTATGTTTAATGAGGACATACATTTTCTATGAACGTACGTGATGTGATCGTTAAAGGTAAGCTCATAGTCCAGAATAACTCCTAGAAATTTTACTTTATCGGTGGATTTAATCGTGGTGTTACATATGTTGATTTCAGTTTGGCCTGGTTTGATACCTCTTTTGTTAATATGGAGAAAGTGTAACTTGTGAGTTGCAATGTTGAGTCCTATTGTGTTTAGATTAGAGTTTAGAGTATTACAGGAGCTTTCCACTAAATCAATGCAATCATTGGTCGAATCGGATTTAATAAAGATTGCGAGATCATCGGCGAATTGGGATATGTGGACTTTTTCGGATAGTCCAGAAGTAATAGAAGATACGTAGAGAGCGTATAAAATCGGGCTAAGCACTGATCCTTGTGGAACGCCTCTGTGAGAAAGAAAAAAGATTTTTATAGATTTTTCAGTGTAAATGCGCTTGGCCCTTGATGTGTGACCTATGAATCTTAGGATGAGGGGAGAAAAGCCCATGTCAGCTAATTTTTGCAGCAGAATATCTACATTGACTTGATCAAAGGCTGACTCAACGTCTAAGAATACTGCATACATCTCTTTGTTTTCTTTAAGGGCTTCCTGTGCACTTGAAGAAAAATGAGCCAAGTTGTAGATGCAAGAGTTGCCTTTTCTAAAACCGTGTTGGTCTTTGGGGAGAAGGTTGTAGCTTTCAGCCCACTATTGCATGCGATTTTTGAGAAGAGATTCAAAGAGTTTAGTCAAACAGGGAGTGAGTGATAGGGGCCTCAACCCAGAGTTGTTTGGGTTTTTGATAAAATGGACGTAGATATCCTTCCAACAATCAGTGTATTGGCTAGAGGCAAACATCTCGTTGAAGACATCAAGCAGGAGAAGCTTGTATTTGATACGTAAGTTCTTGATTATAGTATAGTCAATGTCGTCTATTCCATTAGCAGAGCCAGAGTTTTTTTGACTTAGCGCAAGATTGAATTCCTGAAATGAGAAAGGTAAGTCCAGAGATTGATTAGGAAGAGCCAAAGGGAAAATTTTTAGGGTTGAATAATATTTTTTAAAGACAGCTGTTTTCAGTCTATTTACTTTATCACAGTCAGAGTCCCACCAAGGAACAGGGTTCTTATAACAGCGCTTGGATACAGTTTTTTTATTAGGGGTAGAGGATTTGACAGCTTCGGTGATGGTATGTGAAAGAAAGTCATATTTTTCGACTGGGGATAAGGTGTCGAACTTTGAGGTATA